GTCCCCATGGCCTGTGTCCTGTGTCCCCATGGCCTGTGTGATCTGTCCTGTGTTCCCACAGGCCATGTCCCCATAGCTGGTGTCCCCACGACTTGTGTCCTGTGTCCCTATGGCCTGTGTGATCTATCCTGAGTCCCCATGGGCCATGTCCCCATGGCCAGTGTCCCCATGGCCTGTGTCCTGTGTCCCCATGGCCTGTGTGATCTGTTCTGTGTCCCCACAGGGCATGTCCCCGTGGCTGGGGTCCCCACGGCTTGTGTCCTGTGTCCCTATGGCCTGTGTGATCTGTTCTGTGTCCCCACAGGGCATGTCCCCGTGGCTGGGGTCCCCACGGCTTGTGTCCTGTGTCCCTATGGCCTGTGTGATCTGTTCTGTGTCCCCACAGGGCATGTCCCCGTGGCTGGGGTCCCCACGGCTTGTGTCCTGTGTCCCTATGGCCTGTGTGATCTGTTCTGTGTCCCCACAGGGCATGTCCCCGTGGCTGGGGTCCCCACGGCTTGTGTCCTGTGTCCCTATGGCCTGTGTGATCTGTTCTGTGTCCCCACAGGGCATGTCCCCGTGGCTGGTGTCCCGGGTCCCTTCTGGCTTGGGTGGGAGCAGGTAGGGAGAGCACCTGAATCTCAGCCTAAAACCGTGCACGCCGCGTGGGTCCTGCTGGGCCAGCCGTGAGCCACCACCGCTCCTGGGACACACGTCACTGGGATCTTATTTCCCACCTCGTGACAAAAAGGGGCAGAGACGGCTCTCCTGATGGTGCTCCCCCACCTATTACTCCACCATGGTGGCCTGATGGACCTGGTGGCATTAACAGTGGGGATGAGGGTGACACGCTGGGTCGGGGAACCGGGACCAGCTGGTCCGTAAGCCACCGTTCTGGGGACATCATCTGGCCTGAGGACATCTCCCCTGGCTGAGTTTTGAGCCCAGTGCTGGGGACGAAGCAGCACGATGAACCTGGGGGAAATCAGACCAAGGCGCCTGTGTATAAATATTGGCTAAATAGATTTATTTTCATACAAAGAATACACGGATCCCCCCGACGGGACGCCCTCACCTCAGGGGACACCCCGAGATGCCACCGGCCCCTGGCCCTCCTAGTCCTTGCCCTCTTGCCCAGGTGCCTGCGGCAGCCTGAGGTGCAAGCTCAGCCTGGGGATAAGCGGCACAACTTCGGCTCGCTTTAATGGTCATCCCCAAGCTGGATCCAGCCCACGGAGACACCCTGGGTCCCTCTCTGCAGCGTCGCATCGCTGGGGGACCCAGGCTGACATCCGACCGGATGTGATTTTCCCGGTGGGGAGCTTCACCGGCAGCGGGGTTTGCACTCGCCCCCCTCCAGGGAAACCCTTGTCCTGGGGACTTTTCCTGCCCTTTGTGCTGGGTCCTCTTCAGGCGCCGACGAAACTCCTCAGCAGGGTTTTATTCGCTCTCAAATTGCCTAAGAAACGCCCCTGGCTACCCGCTTGCTTGAGCCGAAATAGCCGGACTTACCTTCAGGGAGCGGGGCGCTGTCAGGATCCGGCCCGGTCCCTAGGGCCCTGGCTTTTGGCTCCGACGCGTGACCTCAGGGACGTCCCTGTTCCCTCAGCCCTGCGTCTCCAACCTCCGACCCCCAGGAGATGGGGGCTGTCTCGTCACCTACGTTTGCCCACTCAGGGCACCCCGTCTTTGGGTACCCTCCCTGTGGGGTGCCCCTATCCCCAGCTCCCCATTCCCTCGCGGCTTGGCCCATGGCACCTCAGGACATTTTGGGGTTCCCCCGTGCCCTAATACTGTGGCTGGTAACAGACCCCTCCACGCGCCCTATGTACACACTGAATAAAAGAAGAAAATACAGGTATTTATAGCGGAGGCCCCATACGGCTTGGGGGGGGGGTGTGTGGAACACTCCCCTTCCCTCCGG